CCCCCACCCCAACCCTTTAACCTGGGGTATGTATAGCACATTCTCTGGTGCCCTGCATGGCCTGGTTGTCACCCTCCTGTTGACACAGTGACATCCCGGTACTCAGCAGACTGGGGGCGGTGCTGGGCTCACTCATAATCTGGTGATTAATCTTCTGGCTAATGGCAATAACTCCCCTTCCTATGGCAGGTCAAAGTTTAAACTCAACTTGTAAGGAAATTAGGGTGAGCATCCTTCTGGCCCTCTTATGGATGGGAGAGGCTGAAGTTCAGAAGGAGCTCACTTTGTGCCAGACTGGCTCACGGGGTGGGACTCCAGGAGAGCAGGCCCCGACCATGACGCGAGGTGGGTCAGTCGGTGGTCAGGGTTCCATGTTGTGAAGCCGTCACTGAAGGCATGGGCACATTTCTAGAAGTCAGTCAACTAGCATTTATTAAGCACTTCCTGTGTGCCAAGCTCTGAGCCAAGTGCTAGGGATGCAGATGCAACAAATACAGATGAGGTGAGACCAGTCTGGAAAAATGCAGCTTGGCTTTTTGAAAAAGAACAAGGAAATTCCTGGAAAGAGCGACGTGCCCCTTCCTGCCTTCCCTCAGCGCTCCCCTTGCACCAGGCGCATCGGCCTGTTGGCCATCTCCAGTTAGCCCTGTTTTCCATTGTTTGGATGGTTTTCTGTTTGTGTGTGTGTGTTGTGTGTGTGTGTGTGTGTGTGTGTGTGTGTGTGTGTGTGTTCTCTCCAGCACGGCTTTGTGGAAAGGCACCATGGCCGTTAAATGGGGCATGAGGCCCCACCAAGTCCGGCCCACACCTCTCGGGCAGCCCTTCTCCTACCTGCCCTTCGAAGGCTTCTCCAGCCCAAGGCCTCAAACCGTCAGTTTCCTAAAACTGCCTCAGTGGCATTCCCCATTGCTGTAGCCTCTCCCCCCGGCCTCTGGGGCCTGGACGGCTGACCAAGCTGATGCTCCCTCCCCGTGGCAGCCCCACGGGTCCTTGCAGCCGCTGGCGCCTTGTTCCTGAGCCTTCTCTTCTTCAGGCTGGACGTCCCCAGCTCTTGCACATGGTCCTTTCATGGGACGATCTAGAACCCTTTTACCTTCTTAGCTCACACCCCAACTTTTCAATGTCCTTCCTAAATCACCCTTCCTGGAGCTCCAGCTGCAGCCTGACCAGGATAAAGTATCTCTCCCATTTCCTGTGGGTGATTGCACCCAGCAGCACCCAGCCCAGTGCGCGGCATGTTGGCGCCCAGAGGAGCCTGATGAACACGGGCAGCGTGACCGGGTGTGTCATCTGTCCCTTGGAGCCCTGCCGGTGCCAGCCACAGGCTTGACACGCAGGCTACGTCGGCCTTTATCAAAGGCGTTGATAAAGCTGGTGCCTGGGGACCCAGCCTGGGGAAGCTGGAAAGGGGCCCCAGAGCCTTGGAGGGCCTCGGCCATGGCAGTGAGAGAGCAGACGTTTGTCGGGTTCGAGTGAACTCTGGATTCTTTGTCGTGAGTACACCCAGGCAGTCTGTGTGGCTGGAGTGGAGGCCCTCAAGGGCAGGGGACCCCTACGCTGTAGAGCTGGAAGGGGCCCCAGAGGCCACCAAGTCCAACCCCACGTTTTACAGAGCAGGAAACTGAGGTCCAGAGAGTGAAGTGCCACAGACGGGCATCTGAGGTAGGATCTGAACCCGTCTCCGTGACTCCAGTAATGTCCTCTACCGCCATGCTGCTTCTCTCCATGGTGGGCACTTAGTAGGTGCTTTGTTAAATCCTGGGATTTGGAGGAGGGATGGACCTCTTTTGGGAGGAAATCCTGCCCAGAGAGATGTGGCTGCTTGGCAGTTAGTGAAAGGCCAAAAAAGGAGCCGCTCCCACAAAGCCACGTTTGTTTTGTGGCTAAGATAAGTGGGTCGGCAAGCATCCATCCACCTGACCAGAGAGGGCATTTCCATGGCAACCGCAGGTTGTTTAGGAGATGGAGGGGATGCTCCCCCCTTCAGATTCCAGCTGGGGAGTGGCCTGCTGGCCTGGGCGTGTGATGACAGGGCAGGGTCTCAAGTCGGGGGGGTTCGCTAGCAGACAAGTCTGAGGCCAAGATCACTAGGAAATAGTGACCGCCTTAGCACAGAGTGGCAGAAACACTTATCCCACCCTTCTGTGTCTGCGGTAACAGGAAGCAGAGGGTGGAGGTGGATTACCAGGTTCCAGAGGCCTTAATTACTTGTCCCCTTCACGTTTGCTGGTAAATGGGGGGCCTGGTCAGGTGATGCAGAGGGTCAGGAAGAGTCCTTCATTCGTCACCTCTTCCATGTGGATAGGGACTGGACCTGGGACTTCATTGATGTGGGGAATTTCTGGTGTGGAAGCTCCCTCTGCCAACATAGCAGGGCCACATGTACTCAGCAGCTGGTGGGCTTATTGAGAGGCTACGGGGTCGCCCAGCCTGGCTGTGGCAGGGATAGAACTTGGACCCAAGATTCCAAGGCCAGCCCTCTATCTGATTACCTGACTGCCTCTCTTGAGAATCTCACGTTAGCATCTAAGCCGTGGAGGATGGATTGAGAAGGAGAGAGAAGAGAAGGAGGGGGGCCTAATTATCAGCCTGTTAGAATAGTCTAGGAGGAGCCGGATGAGGCTGGCAGGTGCCAACAGCAGAGAAGGGGACTATAGGAGGGATAGCATGGAGTCTGAATGGTCAGGACTTGATATCAGCTTGGTTAAGGAGGGATGACAAAGGGTGACTCTGAGCTTTCCATCTCGTATTCTTGCTGCTGAACCAGGCTGGCTTTGGAGTCAGATGGCCTGGCTCTGAGCACTTGCCCACGCTGGAATGTCTGGAGTGAAAGGCATGAGCATTTCAGTCACTTTTTTTTTTTTTTTTGGTGAGGCAGTTGGGGTTAAGTGACTTGCCCTGGGTCACACAGCTAGGGAGTGTTATGTGTCTGAGGCCAGATTTGAACACAGGTCCTCCTGACTTCAGGGCCACACCACCTAGCTGCCCCTCAGTCACTTTCTTTGCCTAATTCCGAGTCGTTTTTCAGAATGTTTGGGCCAAATCTCAGCTCCACCAACAATGCATGTGTGTGCCTCTCTTTCCAGTCACTCTAACGTTAATCATTCCCATCTTTTGTCATCTTCTCTAGTTTGTTAGATCCGAGTCATTTGGGCTTGGTCATTTAAAAAAAAAAGTCTCTTGGTGCATTTCATTTTTACATGGCTGATTTCTGGAAATACCTGCCCTTCCATGGGGGCAATAATGCCTATGGTTCTTACCCGACAAAGGATGAAATGAAATAATGCACATAAAATCATAGGTTTAGAGCTGAAAGGGACTCCATCTAGTCCAGTACATTTATTTTGCAGTTGAGTAAACTGAGGCCCAGAGGTTACATTTGTAGTAAGATGCAGGACCAGAATTCGAACCCAGGTCTCCTGTGACTCCAGATCCGTGCTGTCTCAGACAGGAAGCATAAAGCAGACTGATGTCGCTGCTCGTTTCTGCCGGCCCCCTCCATCTTTCCCGATGAGCCTGTCTTCAGAAGACCTCCGAGGGCACGCTCCCTTGGCTGCTCTCTACACCCTCCAAGGGGCCTCCGCAGCCTCGGGCATTGGCCTGGCCAGTGTGCCTGCTCCGTCACGCCCTCGGCATCCCTGGGCTTTGGGGCTTCCTTTCTAGCTGCAGCCCATCGAAGCACCTCCTTTCTCAGCGTTTGGTCTGCGCCCTCCTCGCCTTCCCCCTCAAGCTTCACTAGAAAGCCACCATGGCCGGGATGGCCAGGCCCCTCCTGTCAGACCTGTTCTGCCCAGGAACTCAGAGAATTGGTCAGTCAGTCAACAAACGTAGGCCAAGTGCCTTCTGTGTGCTAGGCTCTGCCCCAGGCAGCAGGGATCCAAAGATGAAGATGGGGCGGCCCCTGCCCTCAGGGCGCTTACACTGTGTGGAGGGAGAGACAGCGTGGGCCTTTAGAAGTGGATACGTGGTATGTGTGCACGTACAAACACACACACACACGTAGACATGTGAACATTCAATAAGTACGAGGTAAAGGGGATGGACCAGGAAAGGCCTCCGGGATCAAATCTAAAGTCCTGTTGGAATTGCACAGCAAACCAGCCCCTTCCAGGGGGAGTACAGGATCAGGGATTAGAGAGCTAGGCATCCAGTCCCCAATCTTACAGGTGAGGAAACTGAGGCACACAGAGAGAGGTGAAGCACTTTGCCAAAGTTTATACAGCTAGGAAGTATCCAAGGCAAGATTTGAACCCAGATCTTCCTGCCTCCAAGACTGGCACTGTGTTACCTTGTTCTGGTCCTACCTGGCTCTGCATCTCAGACCCAGGTCAGGACGGTGGCTACTGCCTTGGAGTCACCTCTGACCCTCTGGCTCTTCTTCCATCTGCTTTCAAATCCAGGCACTCACTGAGTCCTGTGAGTTTTGCTTTAACAGCATCTCTCCTGTCATCCAGCCAGCCCCTCCTCCCCCCTCCCCCAGCTGCCACTAGGGCTCAGACCCTGTGCCCTCTCACCTGGGCTGCTGCAGTAGTTCTCGAACTGGTCTAGAAGAGTGAGTTGGGGATCTGCATTGGGGAAGGGAGTTTCCATATTGGAAGGTCTACACAGTGAGGAAAGCTCTGGTCTGGACCCTGATCCCCCAACCCTAGATTATCCTGACATGTCATGCCTGGCACTGGCCCTTCCAGGGCTGATGCTTCCTGTTGTACTCCCAGACTTCTTTACGTTACCCCAGACAGCTGCTGGTCAGCCTGTGTCTGCGTCTCCTCTCCCCTTTCTCCTCTTCCCTCTTCCCCTCTCCTCTCTCTCTCTCTCTCTCTCTCTCTCTCTCTCTCTCTCTCTCTCTCTCTCTCTCTCTCTCTCTCTCTCTCCCTCTCTCTCCCCCCCCTCTACCTCCCCCTCTCCCTCCTCCCCTGTCCTTCCCTTTCCCCTCCCTTCCCCTTATTCCTGGCCAGCGATCATGCGCTCCCAGGAGCTGAGGCCGGATGTTGTTTCTGCAGATGCTGGACAGCCAGACTATTCTGATCGCCAGCGCCCTGCTGCTGCTGCTTCTGGCCTGGAAGTTCAGAAGACTCTTGGTTTTTTTCTGGCATAAAGGAGTCCTGCAGTTCATGAAAGACTTCATGTCAGGCATGAGCAAAGAGGAGCGAATCCTGGACTGGGTGAAGCAGCATGCGGTGGTGGGCGACCCCCAGAGTGTGGTGGACGCCATGGACGTGTACTCTCGCCAGAAGGAGTGGTCCATGCACGTGGGCGATATCAAAGGTGAGCGGGTGCTGGGGCAGCCGCGCAGGAGCACAGCTTGCACTCTCGGGGGGGAGACAAGATGATCCAATGTAGTTGGTGGGGGAGGGCCCTGGGCGGGGGGAGATCAACGACAAGCATTTATTAACCGCCTGCAGTGTGCCAGGGAAGCCTCCACGTAGCAGAATTTTGGAGAACACTAGGGTCTCTCAAGAGGCTGGAGTGGGGAGGGAGAGCTTCACCATCCTTGGCCAGCAGGGTAACCGGGTCAAAGGTGCAGAGGTGGGAGATGGAGCTACAGGTCTGAGGAATTGTCTCTGGCTGGCTTGGTGGGTGGGAGGGGCTTCGTACCCTTTGCCCCACCCCCTCAGGAACCGGGAAGGCGCTCCCTCCCCGTCTTCCTGCCTGGCTTCTTCTCCGTCTCCATCTTCACCTCCTCTATGGAGGCTCCCCCAGGGCCTTCTCCTGCTGTCTTGATCCATGTCTCCCCAGCAGAGAGAGGGAGGGCCTGGTGACCTTGCACAGACCTCCCTCACTTAAATCCAGTCATGGCATCACAGTCCTCCTCAAGAATGAAGGGCAAACCATAGCCACGCATGCAACCGCACACAACCACACACAGAAGCTCCCCCAGCGGCTCCAGTGATCGTGGATTCCTTTGGGCATCCTCTGTGTAGATTTAGCCAAGTGTGGGTGTCAGCTCCCTGAGGGAAGGGCCTGTGGCCTTAGCATGTTGGACAGCGTCCAGCTGGTTTGTGCAATTGAGTTCTAAGGTAGTAAAGGGAATCATGGAGTGTTGGCATGGGAATGGACTTTAGAACCTAGAACAGAGCTTGTCAGGGCTGGGAGGGGCCTGAGAAATATCTTTATGAATAATACTTGGCATTAGGGTCACCTAGGAATGTTTGCAGAGCACTTTGTAGGCATAATTTCATCTGCCTGTAACAGTAGCCCTATGAAATACTGCCAGTATTATCATGCCCATTCTCTAGATGAGGAAAGTGAAGCTTGACCACGTGAGCTGCTGTGTGACAAATGGGGCCTCTAGTACAGATGTGACTGAGCCAGGATCACCAAGATTGTAGGTAGGAGAGCTAGAATTCAGACCCAGGGCCTCTCCAGTTTTCAGGCTGGTGTTTCCCCCTCCCTTGGGTTGGCCCAAGCTCTCTTCCAGTCTCCAAGTCAAGATGATCACAGTAGCCAACAAGACCCCTTTGTTCAGGCACCTGCTGAGTTAGAGCCCTGGGCGCAAAGTGCAGATCAGGTGGGGCTTGCCCTCAGGGAGCTTACAGTCCTGCCGGCTGAGCTAACATGCTCTCTTCCATGCCCCTGACACAGGGAATGGATAGGAATCTGGCCTGTGAAAAGAGGACAGTGAGGGCGTTTCAGGTGGAGGGAGCGGCTGAGTAAGGGCATGGAGGTGGGAAAACATGGGTCTTCTCCCAGACCCACAGACTTGGAAGGGACCTCAGGACCCACCTCAGGTAACCCGGGCCTAGACCCTCTCTTCTTAACCCCCAGCAGATGGTCCTCCTCCTCTTGCCCAAAGAGCTCCAAGGATGGGGGGCTCACTACCCCTCGTCCCCTAGGAAGCCCAGGCAGGTTCTCCCTCCTCTCCAGCCTCTGTCCCTCGAGGCCGCAGCTGACCCCTCCCCGTGCACCCTCCCCTCTTGTCTTCCTCTCAGGTGTGATCGTGGACAAGGTCATGGAGGAGGTCAAGCCCCAGATCCTGCTGGAGCTGGGAACGTACTGCGGCTACTCGGCCGTGAGGATGGCCCACCTGCTGCCCCCCTGGCGGGCACCTCTTCACCATCGAGTTCAACGAGAGCTTTGCGACCATTGCCCAGCAGGTCATCGAGGTGGCCGGCCTGCGAGATAAGGTAGGGTCTCCCTGCCAGAAGGGGAAGGGAAGGAGCCAGAGCCCCTGACTTTGAGGCCTCAGCCAAGTCCCTTCTCCCCTTTGGGCCTCAGTTTTCTCATCTGTGAAATGGATGGGCTAGACTGAAGTGAGGACATTTAACCATGGGGTCTGTGGGTAGATTTCAGGGACTCCTTAAACTTGGATCAAAGAAAAAAGTTCCATCTTTGTTTTCACGAACCTCTAACCAAAATTTAGCATTTCCTCTTATTATTTAAAAGCGTTCTTCTGAGAAGGGGCCCAGAGGTTCCCAAGCTGCCAGGGGGTCTGTGACCCAAACACAGGAAGAATATCTGATCTGAGCCTTTGGTGCCTCAGGATGGGGGCGGCAGCAAGGCCCCCATCCTGGCGGCTCAGGATCCTGGGGTCGTGCGTGTCCCCAGGCGCTGGCAGAGAGAAGGACAACTCCTTGGGAAGATGTATTTCCCCCGATCTGTGGGGCCCTTTGCAAATCCGTGACCCAGGACAGTTAGTGTGTTTCACTGGCGAGACTCGAACCCACTGCTTTTGTTGTTGTTCACTCATTTCTGACTCTTTGTGACCCCCTTTGGAGTTTTCTTGGCAGAAATACTGGCGTGGTTTGGGAATTGAGACAAAAGGGGTTAAGTGACTTGCCCAGGGTCATACGGCTAGGAAGTATCTGAGACTGGATTTGAACTCAGGTCTTCCTGATTCTAGGTCCAGAACTCTCCACTGTGCCACCAGCTTCTTCTTAGGATTTCAGAGTTACAAAGGACGTTAGAACGTGGAACGTCAGCACTGAAAGAGACCTCAGCGATCAGCTAGTTGATCCTTTATTTTACATAGGAAGAAACCGAGGTCAGTCCACAGGCATTTGCTAAGCTCTGGCGAGGTGCCAGGCACTGTGCTAGGCACTGGGGATACAAAGAGACGTGAAAGATAATCCCTGCCTTCAAGGAGCTCCCAGTCTAGCGGGAGAGACAACATGCAAAAACTTACGTACTCTCTTTTGACTTTGTTTTATTGTTTCATGATGTCTCAAGGAGTTATTAGCTTCTACTTGTCCAATTCTAATTTTTTAGGAATTATTGTCTTCATTGAGCTTTTGTACCTCCTTTTCCATTTGGCCAGTGCTGATTTTTAAGGAGTCAGAAGCTTTGTACCCCTTTTTCCATTTGGCCAATTTTTTTAAGGCATTATTTTCTTCAGTATTTTTTGTGCCTCTTTCTCTAAGCTGTTGTTTTTTCATAATATTCTTCCTTTACTCTCATTTTTTTACCTAATTTTCTTCTACTACTGAATTTTGAAACTCATTTTTTAGCTCTTGCAGGAATTCTTTTTGGGCCTGTGTGTGATTCACATTTGTCTGTGAGGCTTTATTTGTAGCTGTTTTAGCAGAGCCCCCTTCCTCCTCTGGAGATGGAGTCACTGTCTTCTCATGAAAGGTCATCTCAGGAATGATAATGTGGCCTGTGATGTCTGTCCAGGAGCTCCCAGGCTCCAATCCTGGCCCTGTTCTTAGCCATCTTTGTGATCCTGAGCGAGACCCTGTCCCGGGCCTCAGCTTCCAGCTCTGTAAAATGAGGGGGTTGGGCTATGTGAGCCCCCAGCTCCTTTCCAGAGCGAGGACCCCCTGCTCTCTGCACCAGAGGACTGATACATAATCAATACATCTGTATTTCCAGATCTCTATACTGAAAGGGCCCTCCCAGGAAATCATCCCCCAGCTGAAGAAGAAGTATGAAATCAATTCAGTCGATATGGTCTTCCTGGACCACTGGAAGTCCCGCTATCTTCCGGACACCAAGCTCCTAGAGGTGAGTGCAAAAGATGGCCAACAGTGTGGCAGGTTGTTCATTGTAGTTGTTGAGAAGGTCCAGTGACACAGTGCGTAGAGTTCTTTGTGAATCACAGAGTGGGATAGACCTCTCCATGACAGTAGTAAAGAGGAGGGGGAGGAGGGGAAAGAGGAGGAGGAGGCGGAGGAGGCTGACTGCTCTCACAGTTCCTGTCCTGATCCCTCCTCTGCCAGGGCCTTCCTCACCTGAAAATGACCTATGCTTCCTCTGGATGTATTTTGTATTTTCATTTGTGTATACAAGGTGTGCCCCTCAATAAAATGGGAGCTCTTAGACTTTTTCATCTCTGTCTCAGTACCTCCAGCACTTAGCATAGACTTTGACTTGTGGAGGCATTGATTGATTGATTGATTGCTATCGGCAATGCATTGAGCGCCTAGAATTGCCAAAGGATGTTCATGACATCTCCACGGCCTCTGCTGATCGCGGCGAAACCTTAGGCTAAGTTCCACGTTCATGGTCTTTTTGCATACTGCAAACATAGATACAGACCCAAAGACAGTGTGAACCCCAAAGGATTTGACATCCACACGGAAAACTGTTCTCCACTTAAAATATTCCATGACATGGTGATGTCAGAAACACTGGGCATGTACAATGTGGCATTTTTCAGGGACGATTTGGACCCGTGGTGGTTCTCCCTCACCAGATCATCCTTCCCAAACACAGCCCAAATCGTAACTTAACGTAGATGGATGACATATCTCTGCTGACCAGCACGTTAAGCAGCTCCTTCGCTTCATAGACTCTTTCTCCAATGATATCAAAATGTCGTTTGTACCCTCTACGAGGAAGATTACTTGTGTGCCTCAAGGACAGATAGCGATTGGAGGTTTCGAGCCTGAATGGGGACAACCAAATAATGATGGTGGCCGTGGCCATGGTGGAAGCTCTTGTTTTGTGGTACATTAAGGCTTGCAAAGTGCCTTCCTCCCATCAGTGCCTGCGGGACCCCCATTTCAAGGATGAAGAAACTGAGCCTTAGAGGGATTTGTTCCAGAATAAGAGTAGTAACCACAATCACAATCACAACTCTTGTCTCTCCGGCATTGCAGGGCCACAGTGTTGGGAGACAGATCTTACCAATATTCTTTTCCTTCTTATTCGGAAGAAGTAAAATGAAAGGGCTTGGGCCTCGGGGCCCGATGGGGCAGTGGTGGCAGTGAAGGCTGGGCCAGGGCAGCTGCGGAGCCTAGTGGCGGTCAGAGCAGCACTGCAAGCAGCTTGAGCACCCCACTTCTGTGACCCCCACTCTCCCTGCTCTGTCAGCCCCCCATTCCTCAACCGGCGGGAGGCAGCGGCCGGGCATGTGCCACTGGGGCTCCCAGAGTGCCCCTTCTTCATCCCAGCCACCTCCAACTGCCTTGGAAGCCTCCCCTCCTGCCTCAACTTCCCCTGGGCACTGCACCCCCTGCCGCCCTCCCCAGCTGGCAGGATGGTGTACTGGGTGATCTCCCGATTGGTGGTGCTGGTATTTGGAATGCTGTATCCTGCCTACACCTCCTGTAAAGCTGTGAAGAGTAAGAACATGTCTGATGGATAGTGTACTGGATTGTCTTTGCCTTCTTCATGACAGCAGAGACCTTCACAGACATCTTCATTTCTGGTTCCCTTTCTACTATGAGATCAAGATGGCATTTGTGGTGTGGTTCCTCTCCCCTTATACCAAGGGTGCCAGCCTGCTTTATAGGAAGTTTATCTATCCAGCCCTTTCCTACCGGGAAAAGGAGATCAACTCAGGCTAAGGAGCGGAGCTGTGAGATGGTGCTGAGCTTTGGGAAGCGAGGTCTTAACATCACTGCCGCTGCTGCAGTCTAGGTGGCTGCCAAGGGGCAGGGTGCCCTCGCTGGTAGGCTTTGGAGCTTCTCCACGCAGGACCTGAGTGCCATCCCTGACAATCCTGCTCCATCCTATAGGATCCCCTCTAGCTGGAGGACCAGAATTTGCACTGGAGACCACCCATCAGGTACCGTCCTGGGGGCCTCAGGATAATCAGAACTCCCAGACAAAGGCCCACACCCTTCCCCATCCAAGGGAGAAGCCCCTGGTACAGAGCCAGAGCCTACGAATTGGCAAGAGGAAGCCCTGGGCACCTCAGGCTCCCTGAAGTCTCCCCCTCAGAAGGAGGCAGCCCCGTCAGAGCTGGACAGCTCCTACCTGCCTATTCCCATTCCACCGGGCCTGCAGTGACCTCGCCCCTTCTCCTCTGACACTGTGGAGGGGAGGTTGGAGGAGAGGATGTTGGGTCTGTGGACCCTGGAAAAGGCAGAAATGCCCCTTTTTGTGATGGTTTGCCTCAGTTTCCATATGATCTCTCCTTGCCCCAGTGCCCTCTCCCTCACTAACATACTCAAAGTGCCTGTGGTAGACTGCAGAGAAGCCTAGCCCCCTAGCCTGCCAGCCGAGACTGCTTGCCTGAGAACCCTGGCCTCAGCCCTGACTGGCACCTCCTGGCTGGGGCAAGGGTGGGGTCACGTGTTCTTAGACCAAGTTCCTGACGGGGTCACTGGTTGGCCGTGCCCGATTTCTGGGTTTGGGATATGCCAAAGCAATCCCTTCTTGATGCTGGGACGTGAGGGTTCTTTTTTTTCTGGCATTGTCTTTCACCCCTAACCCTTAGTGGTTAGGAGGGAGGGGGGGCCTCGATTCCCCTCCCCAACTCTTTCACCTTCCACCCCTGGCCCAGCTCGATCATTCCATCGCCTTTCCTGTGTCACGTGACAGGCCTCTTCTGGGGGTCATATGTATGTGTGTGTGTATGCTTGTATGTGTATATGGGTGTTGGTTGGTATATGGCCAAGTTTGTAATGATCCTGATAAATAAATACATGGAATTTTAACAAAAAAGCAATGAAGGGGCTTGCTCAGGGGTGGGGGATCCTGGGGCCCCGAGGCCACATGTGGCCCTTTAAGTCCTCAAGTGCAACCCTTTGACAGAATCCACACTTCACAGAACAAGTCCCAACTCAGACCCAGTTCAAAGGCCGCAGCAGGGGCCGCAGGCTCCCCACCCCTGGACTCGCTCGTGGTCATAGGGTGACTAGCCTGGGTCAGGCCAGTGTGAGAAGGGCCAGACGGGGCCCCGGCCCGAGGCTCAGCAGAGGCTCTTTGAATACCCACAGGTGAGCACAGCACAGTGGGGGACAAGGGAGGAGCCGTCAGCATCTCTGCTGAATTTGGCGCACTGAAGAACCTCTGGACCTTTTCTTTCTTTCTTTTTTTTTAATTTAAAATTTTTTTTTGCAAGGCAGTTGGGGTTAAGTGACTTGCCCAGGGTCACACAGCTAGTAAGTGTCAAGTGCCTGGTCTGAGGCCAGATTTGAACTCAGGTTCTCCTGACTCCAGGGCCGGTACGCTATCCACTGCGCCACCTAGCCGCCCCCTGGACCTTTTCTTTCAAAGAACAAACTTTTAAAAGGACAGCTGAAAGAGAAGTCTCTGTGGAAGCAGTCCTTACCCAAACCCATCTGGCTGGGTGACCCGAGCTGCTGCCTGGGCACACTTATGGCCCCTCTCATTCCTGGCTCCCTTTGTTCCGGGCCTTTTGCCGCTAGGTAGCTGGAAAGTGACCTTGACCAGGATAAAAGGGCCTGTTGGGAAAGATTAAAAAAAAAACCAGCCAGAGTTTTGTGTCTTGCCTACGAAGGTTGTACCTTAGATGCCCCCTAGAAAATGCTGACCCTGCAGGGCTGGCACAAAGTGTGCGGGACTTGGAGTCCCTCCAGATCCCTGCTCCGAGGTCACCTGGCCGTGGGGAGGGGGAAGGGGGGAGGGGGGCAAGCTGAGGCAGCAAGCATCTAGTAAGTGCTTTCTATGTACCAGGTGCTGAGCCTGGGAATACAAATCTGTGCAAAGATAGTGCCTGCCCTCCAGAAGGTTCCGTCCTAATGGGGGAAGAGGTGGAGGTGCACAGTAGACAAAGTCTGCGAAGAGAATAAGAAATGGGAGAGAGCTATGCCAAGTCTCTGTAAATCAGCCAAGGGTCAAGTTCATGGAGTGCCGGGCCTGGATCAGGAAGACCCACGCCAGCCCTGGCCTCAGAGACTCCCAGAGTTATTGTGAGGATCAAATGAGCTCCTGTTTGTAAAGTGCTTTGTAAACCTGGGAGTCTTTGGAATTCTGGCTATTAATACTTTTTAAAAAATCAGCGTGTGTCTGTATGTGTGTGACAGAAAGTTGGCCGTACGGAGGAAGAGTTATCATGGCAGCTCCTGCAGGCAGGTCACCCTGATTCAGCCAGAAGGGGCCCCCGAGGAAGGAGCTCCCAGGGTGCTGGGTTTCAGCAGCCCTTCTGAGGGATAATTACAGTGCATCTGTATTTATAGAAAAACATATATAAGCAAATACAGCAATTCAATAGCTGGGAAGCTGATGGTTTTCTAAATATGTTATGTGGCAAACTGGTAATTATCTCAAGAACTATTAGTTCAATTCAAAAGGAGGCGAAGTAATGAGTGGGAAATGCCATATCCCAGGCTCCAGCTACTGCGTCTCAGCCCCCCAGGGCATGAGCGTCGCGGCTCCCCCACCCCTTGGGGTCTGAGCTTCGCAGCTCCCCCACCCCACGCTCTTGAGTTCCACAGCCCCCTACCCCATGGTCCTGAGCTGCACAGCCTCCCCCCCCACTCGCTGGGTCTGAGCTCCGCAGCTGTGCCTCGCCCCCACCCTGGTCCCAGAGTTCTGAGCTCTGTGGTCCCGGTGCCTCCATCCCCCCACCCCCGGCTCTGCAGCAGCCCCGGCCCTGGCCCTAGCCTCGGCCCACTCCTGGTGCCCAGCGAACGGCTCATTCAGCAGGCTTCCAGCGTCTTTGTTTGGCTTAGCTCCTCCTGTCCCTTCATTCTGATTCCTCCCATAACCCTGTCTCCTGCACACAGGCGGGGGGGTACTTTGGGGGCTGTTGTCAGGCTCGTTCTCATGGATGGCCCTCTGGGAGGGTGGGGGTGCAGAAACCTTGGCAATGCAGGGGCGTCTAAAAAAGCCAGCATTGAGCAGATCTAAATCCACCCCTCCCCAAAAGAAGTGAAGAAAAGCAGAGAGGCCCAAAGCCTGGCTTTGCAGGAAGCAAACGGCCCCCAATTTTGGGCCCAAATATTTGCGGCTTCCCTGGCATCTGTACAACCTTGGTGAGATGTCGAGTGGCAGGCGTGCCAGGTCAGGGCAGTTGGGAGGCCTGGCACTAGGGATCTGCGTGGTGGTACAAGCCTCTTCCAGCCTTTAGCTTCTTCTTGTCTGAAAGGAGGGAGGGGCTGCAGCACTGAGACCCTTGAGCCACCCTGGGACCATAATGGCCCCAGGGCCATCGAAACACTTACTGACTTAGTTTTTAAATTGCAGGGTTTTTGTTTTTCATTTTCCAGTCTACACACACTCTCTCTCTCTAGCCTCCACCCAAGGAGAAAGACAAAGCCCATTTCAGATACACGTAGTCAAGCAGATTCCCTCATTGGCCCTGCCCCAAAACAAACAAAGCCTCATTCTGAGCCCTGAGTCCAGCAGCCTTCTGTGGAGGCTGGGGGTGGGCCAAACATGTGGTTGAGCATGGTGCACCAGAGTCCTAGGTCTTTCTTTTTTCTTTTTTAAAAATTTTTTGTTACATTTCGCATTCTGAGTTATCTCCCTCCCTGCCTCCCTCCCTCCCCACCCCACGTGGAGAAGGCCAACAGTTGATAGCCATTATATTCATTCACTTATTCATCCATCCATCCATCCATCCTTTCCTTCAGGCCTTGGCCATACCCCAGGTAACCTCAGCTGAGCCTTCTCATGCCAGTCCCTTGGGGCTGGGGCAGCTAGGCCAGCCTCTGCCTCAGTTTGGACTGGCCGCCTCCTGGGTCCTCTCAGAATGGGAACTTAGGTTTCTCTTAAGGCTCGGTGCACAAGAGGCTTTCATTACCACAAGCCAGTGAGGTGGGCAGTGCCAGTAATTTCCAATCCATTTTCCAGTCAATCAGCAAGCATTTATGAAGCACTTAGACAACATACCAGGCACTGTGCTGAATGCTGGGGTTACCAAGAGACGAAAACAGGGTCTTTGCCCTCCAGAGTTCCCAGTCAGGTGGGAAGACAATATAGAGACAGCTGTGTACATACAAGAGCTCCACAGTGTAAATGAAACAGGTGACACACGAGAGGGAAGGCCCTAGGAGGAGGGGCACTGGGAAAGGCTTCATGCCTGGGGGTGGGATTGGAACGGAGTCTTGAAAGAAGCTAAGAAAGGCAGAGGTGAGGAAGGCCAGCACTTCAGGCATGGGGCACAGTCAGTGCAAAGGCATCATGTGGGCGGGTGAGCAAGGGCACCAGGATGACTATCTAAGTCACGAGCCCATTTTGACTTTATTTTGGAAGACAGTGTGAGATTTGGGTCTATGCCTTGTTTCTGCCATACTCTTTTCCGGTTTTCCCAGCAGTTTTTTTCAAAGAGTGGGTTCTTATCTCAGAAGCTGGGGTCTTTGCATTTATCAAATAATAGATTACTGTAGTCATTGACTCCTGTGTCTTATATACTTAACCTATCCCACTGATCCACCCCTCTACTTCTTAGCCAGGACCAAGCAGTTTTGAGGATTGCTGCTTTATAATACGATTTAAGATCTGGAGTCCTAGGCCACCTTCCCCTGCATTTCTTTTCAGTAGTTCCCTTGATATTCTGGACCTTTTGTTTTTCTAAATGAATCTTGTTATTATTTTTTCTAACTCTATAAAATAATTTCTTGGTAGTTTGATTGGTATGGCACTGAATAAGTAAATTAATTTAGGTAGGATTGTCATTTTTATTATATTAGCTCGGCCTACCCATGAGCAACTGATGTTTTTCCAATTATTTAAGATCTGACTTTATTTGTGTGAAAAGTGTTTTGTAACTGTGTTCATAGAGTTCCTGGGAGGGGGAGGTTTTACTACTTCTGCTCCCATAAGCTCCCACACTGTGCCCCCCACTCCATAGACAATCCATTCACCAGCCTGAGTCAATTAGCTTTTAGAAATGGGTATTTCCTGAGGTAGCTGGAAGAACAGGTGGTAAAGAATCACACACACCCCCCCCCAAAGTCTGGGAGCACAGCCCCTCCCTCAGATTCCAGGGGCAACTGGCTCAGTCTTAGCAAGCCCGTGCCTCAGGGGGTCCCTCTGAGCCCCCAGCTGGGTGGGGCTCTGTTTCTACTTTCCCCGGACCCTCACCAGAGTGTCTGGAGGTGTGTGCATGCCCCTGCCCAGTGCTCAGGCTGGGCCGCCGGCCACTTGGTCAGTCTGTTCTCTTGACCCTTGGTTGGACACCTTGCTCCTTCCTGGTGCGGGCACCGTGCATGGCTCAGTGGGAACAGTGTGGGTCATTTCCTCTGGACTCTCCTCCTGCTGCCCTTTGGTATGGGCCCCTTTCTGGACTCTCAGCTGGCTGTCAGTGAAGTCATCAATTCATAGTTAAGATGTCAGCTACTGCCTAGATGGAAAAGGCTTTAGGGACAAAATGAATGAAGCCGTAACGGCGGAATGCTAGGCAGGCAGGTTTATTCAAGGTTCCAGGATGCTACCATTTGGCCCCTAAAGTCACATTGATGTGGGTGGATATGGGCCAGGCCTTCTGAACCCACTAAAAGGGGTGACCCCAAAGAGATCAGACAAGCCTCTTCCCCACTCAACCTCAATTTCCTCATCTGTGGAATGGGGACAATAATCTCTGTACTGTTTAGTTCAAAGGGTCATTGGGAGGGAAGCCCAGTGGAGATGGGCTGTAATGAGAACTGCAGTCAGAAGACCTGGGTTCAAATTCTGCCTGCCCCTTACTGCCTGTGGGACTTTGGGCGAGCCGTTTACCGCCGTGGGCGCGGGGTATCCCTCCGTCCCAGCTCACCAGCTCTGACACCCTCGCCTCTTGTGCCTCTGCAGGAGAACGGCATCATTCGGAAGGGGACGGTGCTCCTGGCCGACAATGTCATTTGCCCCGGGGCTCCAGACTTTCTGGAGTACGTCCGGAACAGCAAGCGTTATGAATGCACCACCTACCCCGTGGAGAACATACGCGTGAATGACGCTTTGGAGAAGGCGGTGTTCTTGGGCTGAGGGCGGTGCCTGGGCAGGGGCGGGGGGAGAGGCCGGGGAGAGCCACGGCGGGAGGAGGAGGGGGCGGGCCTGGGCCAGGGCCCCCAGGGCCTCACCAGCCTTTTCTACCTTCTTCAAATAAAAAAGCTGTACTCCAAACCCTTTGGAATGCTGTTATAATTGTGTTGTCTGGAGTTTCTGAGGTCTGTCCAGCCCAGGCCATCCCTGGACTGGCTCCTTTGTGTGAGCCTGCAGGGACCTTGGTGCTGGGCAGGAAGCCGGGGTCGGACCGAGGAGACAGAGCAGGTCAAGGGCGCCTTGGCCGCAGAGGGCCCGCCTTCCCAGCAAGCACTTGGCTCCATCCCCTGACATCTCTGCCTCCATCCGTCCGTCCATCCATCTATCTGTCTATCCCGGCTAGGCCAGGCTTGGACCTTCAGCGCAAGCCGCCTCCCCCATAGGGCACCCAAGGCTCCTGTCCCGCAGCTCGACCTCCTAGGCTCAATGGGAGCCCAGGCGTTTTTCCTAAGTACTTTCCGCAGTTCACCCAGTACCCACCAGGGAGCAGCAGGTGCCTTCGGCTACTTCATGGCGATCAGGCCCCAAGCAGGGCCCTTGGGGTCCTAGAGGGAGAGCAGGGAGGGGCCTGCCATCTCAGACCGTCAGGCCAACCCCCTCCTATTGGGGAAACTGAGTTGTGGTCAAGTGACTGGCCAAAGGTTGCACGGCGTAAGGCAGTGAGGGTTTGAATTCTGTTCTCCAGTTGCTGCTTGTCTCTTATCAAAGTGACCTGGAATGTCCCTGGCTGTTCTGTTTTTTTTTAAAGAAGGAAGATGGCCAAACAGCAAGCCTCTACTTTGGTTTTCACATTCTGCACCTGGCCCTGCCCAGATCCATCCTCCCTGGAGGCCTCCATGGCCCTGCCCAGATCCATCCTCCCTGGAGGCCTCCATGCCCCTGCCCATATCCATCCTCCCTGGAGGCCTCCATGGCCCTGCCCAGATCCATCCTCCCTGGAGGCCTCCATGTCCTTGCCCAGGGGCTAGTCTTCCCTATAGGCCTCCATGGCCCTGAGCTGCCAGCTCTGGGATGTCCCCCTGAAGCCTGGGCTGAGGGCACTCCATTCCCAGTAGGCTGGGGCTCCCTCTCAGCTCCTCATTCCTCCTCTCTGCCTGGCAAGATAAGGAAGTAGAAAAGAAGGCCTGAGAGGCCAAGACCTCCTGTGGCTGAGCTGGTCCAACCTCCTTCCTCTTAGGGAAGAGTCACCCCCCCCCCCGCTACCCCTGCCAACGCTTCCTAGCTCTGGCTTGGTTTCAGCCACGGCCCACAGATGGGACATCCCTCTTAGACATGAGTGTGTTTTTGCCAGCCATGTGTCTCCCTCCCTGAGCAGCAGTGGCTGCAGCACCTGGAGAGTGTGGATAAGCATCTAGGGGAAAGTGGAGGCAGAGAAGGAGAGTGAGGAAAAACCAGAGGACCCCGTTCCTCTTCTTCCTACACTCTAGCTCTGGTTGGCTGAGGCCCTGGGGGTTGAGGGTGGAAATCCTGCCTTGTTAGCCCCAGCCCATCCCTCCTGCGTCCTTCCATCCATTCTTCCTCGGGCCTTTGGAACAACACTGCTCTCCTGGGAAGCAGCAGGGGAGGGAAGAGGGAAAGAGGAGCAGGAGGGGTGTGCCCCCCCACCGGCCATCCCCAGCCACGTTAGCAATGCCCCCTTCCTTTGGTCCAGCCTCTGCTCCTGTCTGGGTTGGAGAGGGGCCTGGAGGACACTTTGTATCCCTGCATCTCTGAACACATTTCCCACCACCAGAGAGGGCCTTCCAGCTCTCAGATTCAGTGCTGCTCTGGTCGTTATGGGTAGTGTGTGGCTAGCGTCTCTTGGCACTTAGACTTCAGGTACACTCTGAGTCACCTCGGCTTCTCTGGACCAGCCTGGGAGCCTCCCCGAGGGCAGAATCCTGTTTCTGTGGGAAAACGAGTTCAAAAAAGAATGTTCAAACACTGCTCACTTCATAAAATTATAGGCCATTGGAAGACCCCTGACAGGTCATCTAGTCCAAAACCCTCTTTTTACAGCTGAGGAAACTGTGAGGATGCATGAACTTCCCAAGGTCATCTTGCTTGTAAGTGGCCGAGGCAGGACTTGATCCCAGAGCCTGGGCCTCCTTCTCTGCATCTTATTCCATGCTGCCTTCCCAAGCTAGGCGGCCTCAGCTTTCCTCCGCCTGGGCTTGTTACCAGCTTCTGGTTTGTAAACCACTTGGCATCCGACCTCTCCTGCAGATTTTCCAAGACAGCTTGTGTTTCTCACTTAAAACACAGGGTTTTTTTGTTTTCAAACAAAAGTTTTAAGCAAAGATTCTTCCATCCCTCCCCCCCCTCCGCCCCAAGAGTTTCTACTCCAAGTGACAGAGACAGGGGAGAAAGGAGAAAGGGGCAGAGATACAGAGACAGAGACAGAGACTGGGAGAGTCTGGCCAAGTAGCCCACCGTGGAATGGAATCAGTAAGACATCACTGTCTGAGCTTCCCCCTTTCAGTCATAGATAATGCACCTGAGAAGCTGGGGGCTGGTCCGCGGCAGTCCTTCCCTCTGCCACAAATACTTCAGACCTAAGACATGGGCCGCTGGGTTTGTTGGTTTCCATAAAAGATTTCCTGGGATAAGCTCCCTTCACAGAGGGGTTCCACTCTGCACACAGGCTATGGGCTAAGGAAACTAGTCTTGACTTGTAGCTTCTGGGCCCAGGAAAACACAGCTTTGAGAGCCTTGGTGTGAGCACAGCGTACTTGGGCCATGGGCATTGGCCTGCGGAGCAGCTGGGGGTGGGATGCCTTTCATCCAAAGAGGAAATATTCCCCAGCAACGAGTGGGCCTGTTGTTTCCTTGAGGAAGGTGTGAAGCGACCTGGCTGGCAGATGTGCAGACCAATCCCTCGGGGCCTGGGAGATTGAGTGTTCTACATCTGGGTATTCTAGAGCTGGACAAAGAGCCATGTCTGGCTTGGGCTGTGTTCTAGAGCTAGTGGAGGATTACCCTGGCTGACCCCTCTCCTGTTCAGAATGGACAGGGAGTCTGGTTCTAGGTGCTGTATTTTAAGAGACCCTGGCAGGTTTGGGAGCGTCCCAGATAAGGGACGGCCCTCGATGGTGGCCAAAGAAGTCTTGAGCGTAATTAGCTTGGAGGAGGGAAAAGGCCTAGAGTGAGGAGGGCTGCTGCCTTCACACACCCAAACATGAGCGCACAGAAGAGAAATTAAATGGATCTGCTTGGTCCTGGGGGCCACACCAGGTGCAATGGAGTTTTAGGGTGTGGGTTTCTGACCCGTAGAAGGAAGGATTTCCTGACCATGAGAGCCATCCATCAGCGGGATGAGCCCTTGGGGCTGGTCAGGCAGAAGATGGAGGACCACCCCTTGAGGATGATGGAGGAGGGAATAACTGTGTGAAGTGAGAGGCTGGATTAGGTGGCTTCTAAGGTCACTGAAACACAGAGCGTCAGAGCTGGAAGAGACCTCAGACTCCAGCTCAACCAAGCCATACCTAACCAAGGATGCCGACCACCACGATGATATTAGCAGACGTTTATAGGGCTCCTACAAGGTACCAGACACTGTGCCTAGTGCTTTACAAATACGATCTTATCTGATCCTCACGACAACCCTGGCAGGTGGGTGCTCTTATGAGCCCATTTTACAGATGAGGAAAGAGGCAGACAGACAGGAAGTGACTTGCACAGGGTCATATGGCTAGTAAATGAGTAGAATTTGAACTCAGGTCTCCCTGACTTCAGGCCCAGTGCTCTGTCCACTTAGCTCCATTTTAGTGGCCTCAATGTGCCACTACAGCATCTCCAACAGATGATCCTCTCCACATCATCACCATCACTATCCTCATCGCCACCATCACCATCATCACCATCACCATCATCATCATCATCACCACCATCACCATCATCACCACCATCACCATCACCATCATCACCATCATCACCACCATCATCATCATCATCACCACCATCATCATCACCACCATCATCATCACCATCATCACCATCATCATCATCACCATCATCACCACCATCATCATCACCATCACCATCATCACCACCATCACCATCATCACCACCATCACCATCATCACCACCATCACCATCAACACCACCATCACCATCAACACCACCATCATCATCACCACCATCATCATCACCATCACCATCATCACCATCACCATCATCACCATCACCATCATCACCACCATCATCATCACCATCATCACCACCATCATCATCACCACCATCATCATCACCATCACCATCATCACCACCATCACCATCATCACCACCATCACCATCATCACCACCATCACCATCAACACCACCATCATCATCACCACCATCATCATCACCATCACCATCATCACCATCACCATCATCACCATCACCATCATCACCACCATCATCATCACCATCATCACCATCATCATCATCACCATCACCACCATCACCATCATCACCACCATCATCATCACCATCATCACCACCATCATCATCACCATCACCATCATCACCACCATCATCATCACCAGCATCACCATCATCACCATCACCATCATCATCACCATCACCACCATCACCATCATCACCACCATCATCATCACCATCATCACCACCATCACCATCACCATCATCATCACCATCATCATCACCATCACCACCATCACCATCACCACCATCACCATCACCATCATCATCATCATCATCATCATCATCATCATCATCATCAGGTCCAGACCTGGGATTTCGTTGGGATAAGGAATTCCCGGTGAGAAAAACGCTTCTACCAGTGCAGATCAACCCCTGCTTTCCAACTTAGAATCTCCAAGGGCTACTAAGGGTAGTGAGGGGGGATAAATGATTTGGCCTGAGACACACGGCCAGTATGCGTGATAGGAAGACTTGAACCCAGGTCTTCCTGGTTCTGAAGCTGGCTCTATCTACTACGAATTAATGAAAAAAAAACATTTATTAAACATCTACTGTGTGTCAGTGCTGAGCTAAGTGCTGGGGAGAGATTTTTTTTTTCAATTTGAAAAAAATTTTATAAAAAAGTCCTTGCCTTCACTGAGCTAACATTCTACCGTGGTGATACATATGATACA